GTAACCAGAATAGATTTTGTAGGTTTAACTTAAATGTTAATTACAACATAAAATGATTTAGCTATAGATAATATGTTGAAAAGCTCAGTTTGTAATGAAGCAATCTAAAGAATATCATTCATATATGTCAAAACAAAGTATTGTTTTTGTAATGAGTTAAATGTTTGGAGTTTAAGATTGGTAGCCCAAGAGAATTATAAGGTATAACCAGGTACTTGTGCATATATATATGAGATAAGCAGATCATAATATATATGCTATAATAAACAAATAATGGTTTCATCTTGGTCAATACTATTGTAAATAGGATATGAAGGAGTAAGGCCAAGATTAGTAATAATTTGGTTGTGATGATCAGTCAAAAGATCAGAAAGGATCTTAATAATAGATAAAAGGAGTATCAGACAAGAAAGTGAATGTTTAAAAAAAATAAAATTGACAGAATTATATGATTTACTTATATCTTATGAAAATAGTCAAATGTTCTTATAATTACAAGTAGCATCTTCAATAAGATTATTGAGGATGTAAATAGAGATTGATATGTTATTATTGGAGAGTACAATATAATTAAAAGGTAAGAGAATAGAATTAGAAGAAAATATAATGTTTAGTTTGTTTGTGAGAATTTTAATATATAGTTTGCAAATATATTCAACAAAACTAATAGGTTGAATAAGATTAAGATTATCATCAAAGAAGTTATGTTTGGAAATAGAATAAATTCTGCTATGTTTCTATTGCTTAAAAATTCTATTTTCAAGAAAATAATAGTTAAAGAGACTAATAATGATAAAAGTACATTTAGAGCTAATATGCTTAAGCATTTTATAACTAATGCCTGTAGGACTACAGGCTTTGTTGTTAGAAAGCTAAGAAAAAGTTTGAGAGAGTTTTTTATTTGTAATGAGGAATTTCAGAAATTAGTATCAGATTGGGTTGATATAAAGGAATAAAAGATAGTGTTGTTGCCAAAAATTATCTAAAAGAGTATTATTAATAGGTCTAAATATAGTTCGTTATAAAAATATAATTGAACATATTGTTTAATGAATAGTGGATTAGTTATAAGCTTATTAGACAATTTTATATTAGAGAAATAAACAGATTGATGTTAAGGGTTAAGGATTCTATTGATAGCTTGTGTAGAATATGATGTAAGAGTAACACATCTTTTGTTTATAATTTTGTTGATTTGTTATTGAAATAGAAGAGAGTTTTCAAGGTGATGAACATAAAAAGTTGTTTTCAGATAGAGTAAACATGTTGAAGTCATAGTTGAGTATAAGATAGGTTGGTGGAATTAATTAATTAAAGGTCACATTGTGACTGTTTATTAATTTGGGAGATATTTTAATTAATATTGAAAATGTTAGAATATTGGTTGAGTTTTTTAATAAGTATAATAATATGACCAAGTTTTTTAAAAGATAAATATAATAGGGTACTGTGAGGTGAGTATTGAAGATTATAGCTATGTTTATGAGAAACTTTACTAAGAATGATGTGAATAACAAATTAAATAATAAAGCATTAAATTTTATGCCAAGTTGTTTCAATACTTTTATTAGTTTCATTATTGATAAGAGTTTTGTGCAATAAGAGTTGTTGAAATAAGGTATCTGTAAAGAATTCCCAGTCTTCTATAGACATAATCTTGTAGTTAAAGATATAACAACTAATACTGATATGTTTATGTAAGGGTTTGCTATAGTCATATAGAAATGTTCATATAGAGATAAAATTAGATAATTACTAAAAGTTGAGATTTGACTGTTATCAAAACTATAAGAGAGAAGAAATTATATATTGAATTAATCAGTTCAAATATAGTCAATATAACTACTACTAATATTGTTATATTAGATGGAATATTTGTTATTAAAGTGAGCTCTAATATTATACATATTGGTATTATTAAAAAAATTAATAAGTTTATATTTGAAAAAAGAACTGTGAGTATTGTTTTGTATATTAAAATTACCAAGAATAATAAGATAAATGTAAAATTGAGAGACTTATTAGATCTAGTTAATAATAGTATATTAAATTTGATTATGAGTATTGAAATCAGTTAATAACAGATAAACTGAGATAATATAGAGCTTAATATTATTTTAAAAAAAAAAATTAAGTACTATAACATTTCCAAAATAAGTATGAATATTGTGGATATGAGGTTTAAAATTATTACAGATCATGATACTAGTATCTTCAATAGAAATAGAAAAATTAGACCAATACTAGATAAAAAAATTATTATTACAAAAGAAGAAGTTAGATTTGTCAAAGATTTTAGTTTTTGTAATGCTTATAATAAATATGTTATGATTAAGACAATAATCTTGTCATATTTCTTTTTTGGTAGATTCATTGAAGTCTCTAACATTGTGTATAGCAATAGTTAGATTAAGATGATATGAAGTTGGGTTGAATGAAGATGAAGAAAAATTATAATTAAAGATTGAAGAATGGTTATCAAAAAATAAATCAGATATGATAGAAATAGAATTAAAGGAATTAGATCTGAGAAAAAGATTATAGAATATAGAAAAAAGATATGGGACAATAATAATATAATCTGGTAAAAGAGTGTCATTAAAAAGATATATGTAGATTTCATTATAAGATAAATTAATAAAAAATATGATACTAGATACAGTTTTATTGTTGTTATATTATCAATATGTTGAATTAGACTTTAAATAGTTTAATTATAAGAGAGAATTAATAAATGATTATAAAGAAGGAATTTGTTAAAGCATATATAAAAATTATTAGAGATTAAAGATGTGATAAATGATCTTTCAAAATTGTCTTCTACAGAATCAATCACTATATGCTTAGCTCTTATAACTGTATAAAGTACTATAGTTTGCCCTATATATTGAATCTAACTGTTATTATCCTGACCTTTCATATTTAATTTATATTTATAACAAATATTATATAAAGTTTTAATTAATAATTTATATTATTCAGATTGTAGAAATAATATCTAAAGTTTTGATCTGCTTCATATTAGATTATATAGTTATTTGTGTTGTGCAGTTTTAATATCATTCAGTATACTAAACAGATGACCTACATTATTAACAACTCTTTTAATATAATTTATATTATTGACTATGAGTTTTTTTTAAAAATATTCTGTCATACATCTTATAAAAATCATGTTTAATTTACAATTATAATGTATTTTCTGGTTACAAATATTATCATCATTATAAGTTTCAACATACTTATGTTTTGAGATATTGATTTGTGAATTTGAAGATTGGAAAACACCTATATTATTAAATGTAATTTGTAAATTTTTAATTTTTAAGATAAGAAAAAGATAATCTTCTTAACATCAAAAATAATTATATAATAAGTAAATTATTGTAGATTAATCAATTTTATCTTTTCTGTTGCTTAGTAAACCAAATACTTATAGATAAGAAAATGACTATGAAGGAATAATAAGCAACTATATATTCAATGATCCAAGTCAATATAATAATGCTCTTCATTTTTATCAGAAATTTGTTTTGCAATAAAACTTGTTCAATTATATTTAAACTCATCAAACCAGAAAGATGCAGTTCATTGTAAATATATTTAATTGAACTAAGTAATTTGATCAGGAATAATATATATACAAATTATTTATACAAGATAATCTAATCTTGATTGATTAAATCTGTAAAGATAACAATGTTTGATTACTTTCCAATATACCTCAATGATTATATTTGTTTTATAAGTTGAAATAATTATTTATGTAGATTAGACCCAAAGTATCCATCTTATAATTTTGTGTCAGAAAGACCACATGTATGCCTATAATAATTCAAGGTTGTTTTCAATACAAAAATCATAAATTTCATGAACTATATAAGCTCAGGCTTCTTCAACAGTAAAGAAATTTCCAACAGCATCAATAGGAATTTTTGGATGCATGTTAAAATGCTTTCTAACAAGATTGATAATCTTACTTCACAAGTTTAATGAATATAATATGTAGTATTCAGGCTCAGTATATTTTAAATTTAGCTTGAAAACTGAAATTACTTTTATAGGTTTTTTTTCTTTTACTCTGGATTAATAAATGTGTAAATTTTAATAAATTCCCGTAATTACTATTACAAATTTATTTTTTATTCCGGATCAATAAAATTATTGCGCGTCATGTTAAGTATGTAAACTTTATAAATTTCCAAAATTACTATTACAGATTTTTTTCTTTGGATCAATAAAATTATTGCACGTCATCAAATATGTAATTTTTTTTTTATTTACTTTGGATCAATAAAATTATTGCACGTCATTAAATATGTAATTTTTTTTTTTTTTTTTTTACTTTGGATCAATAAAATTATTTTACGTCATATTGCATTCAGTATTACACATTATATATTTTATTTATGACTCCAGCATTGCGTATTATCCATTTGTCGAAAGAAGGAAATCGACTTCCGAGGTCAGACATGTGATCTCTTGATCATGTGTCCGGACATTCATGCTTGGAGTGCGTAACTTGATAATTTAATAACTTATCGTTATATTTATTATGATCATCGTTAAATTTATTATTGTTATGATTATGATAATGATAATGATTATGACAATGATATAAATATATTGCTTATCGAGGGTCGATCTCGACATTTTATTGCTAACCTATCTTCCGGGTACCAATCATCATAGTGTATGTAAATATATTTGCGCCTATTGAAGGTTAGAAATGTTTAATGTTTAAGACGTAAACAAACGAAGGTTTAATGTGTAAGGCATAAACTCCAAAAAAAGTTCCACAAGGTTGATATGATAAATTATTATAAAAGATACATATATTTAAAATAGTATATGTATATATGTAACCTGTAGCAAAATGTCCTTTCGAGTTATCGAATCATTTAGTTCTGCAGACTATCTGACCATTATTATTTTAACACTCATTTTATACCTTTTTCGGTTTTATTATAATTATCTCACCCGTCCAAATCCACTTCCAGGTCCTTTACCTTTACCATTTGGACTAGAGGTATTATTATGTTTTTTGATTTTTTTTTATATGCTTTAGCAATTATTAAATTGTAGACCATAATATATTAATCAAACTATTTACAGATACTCTTTTTTGCTGGTAACTTCAAAGACCATGCTGCAGAATTATATAAAAAATATGGGGATATCTGTGAATTCAGATTGGGTGGATACAGAAGAATAGTTCTCTCTAAACCAGATTATTTTGAGAATCTATTATCGAATTCAACGAATTTAGCTTTATTTGCAAGACAAGAGTATCCACCGGACGTGAATTTACTACAAACTTTTGGACGAGGGATGTTTCTAAATAATAATTATGATACTTGGAAGATTAATAGATACTTTCTTTTACAATCAGTTTCAACTCTTGGTTTCAATAAAGAAGCTATAAAATCTATTACTGGATTATTTGAAGAGTTGGATGGATACTGGAATTTGCTTAAAAAATTTCAACCAAATAATGATGGTTGGCTTGAAATAGACTTTTCACCATGGGTAAATAAGTTTATATTTGATAATATTTCAATAGTAATAACCGGTGAACAAGGTTGCTCCATGGCATCATTTTATAATACATTTGACGATTCTGATAAATCTAAAGTTGAAAGTTCATCATTTAATGACCTTAAATCATATAATTCTGATAAATTTGCGCAAGCGATAGTAACTTATATGAGAGGTCTGATAATCTTTTATTTTATTCATCCATTCTTGAGATGTTATGTGCCATTGTTGAGAAATAAAGCAAATGCAGTCCTAGAAAGCAGAGATTATTTATTTAAAACAATTGATGATATGATCGAAAGGAGAAAATTTGATTTTAAAAATACACCTCAGAAATTAAAGTCGAAGCATGATTTGTTAACTCTTCTAATTACTTCAAATCATGATGCAAAGAGTAATATGACTGAGTCATTAACCAACGAAGAGATTAGAGCTCTTATATTTGACTCTTTTCTTGCTGGGGCTGATACGGTACGTTTAATAGTTCAATTCAATTACAATATTAACTATATCGCTCTTATATTAATATGCATGCCTATCTTCTTTCTATAGTCATCAAACACAATATCTTTTATAATTTACTACATTTGTCATAATCCACATGTAAAACGAAAAATGATTAATGAAATTGATTCGGTTTTACAAAATAATTTTTCTGGTACATTATCTATAACTATTGATCATCTCGATAAACTCAGGTATTGTGAAGCAATAATTAAAGAAACTCTTCGTATAATGCCTGTGTCGCCTGTATCACAAAGATTTGCAAGTGCAAAATGTGAAGTTGCTGGATATATATGGCCTGCTAAAACTCAATTTCATTTAAACTATGCTAGTATTCATATGAATGAGAAATATTGGATTAATCCTACTGTCTTTGATCCAGATAGGTTTTATTTACAAAATGATTTGAGCGAACTTACTGAGAATTTAAACAATAAGAATATAAAGACTATTCAAGGAAGAGATAAATATTCATATGTTGTATTTGGTGGTGGCATAAGAATTTGTCCTGGAAGGAAGTTAGCAATAATTAATATATTATCTTTTATGGTATTGATGTTCAAAAAGTATGATATAGAATTAATAGATAAGGAAGCCCCGTTGAAAACACATACTGGACATCTTACTCATTGTTCAGAGTTAAAAATCAAAATTAGGCCTAGGATTCATTAAGGTAATCAATAATTTAGCATAGTTAAACATAAACGTTATATATCTGTTTTGAATTATTAACTAGAAAATAATGTCTAAAGCTAGAAATGTTTTTATATTTATCAAAACACAACTATTTTAGCGTTAAATATCCGCATTTCAAACAAAAGACTATCTGTTCTGATGTAATTTTTTATATTTTATTATGAAATATATTTGCAACTTAATAGCATAGGTTCATTATTCTTTGCTTTAAAGTTAATCATTATTAATAAAATGCTTATCTAGCCACCATAGCATGCGAACCTGATACAAATTTTTGGATATTAAAACAATTATATATTGAATTTTAATGATTTAAAAGAAATTCTATTTTGGCCTGGGTCAAAATGATCTGAACAGGGGATATTTTCACGTTGCATAATGCAACTACTATAGCTCTATAATAGGTTGTATTATTATAATATAAAAATATCCTGTCAGGTCATTTTGCCTTGGGTAGAGTTTTAATTAATGATGCCTGACGAAACTATTTTCGTGATGATGAATGGTTTCTTCATGATTTCGTCATGACGAAACTTGGCGATTGATGAAACCCCTGATGAAACATCTGACAATTAACAAACCTCTTATGAATAATAAAACTATTTGGCAATTAGTAAATTATCTACTAAAATACTATAATAAAACAGAATAATTATTTTTTTTAGTTTTTTTTTGCAAAATGCATCTTTTATTGTATTGTGATCCCGGAATCGGCGAGACTGTTGCTAAATTAATCCAACTCTCGCGTAACCTACGGCGGCTAAGTCGAAATAGGCGTGTTAGATTTGGCTGGTGGTTTATCCGTAGTCTTCTTTCTCAAGTCTTTTTCTTCAACCGATTCTTCTATTAACCTTGGTCTTCTCTTGTCTTCTCTTGTATGCCTCAACCCGGGATTACTCTTCGTCGAATCGGGGTTGGAACTCTTCTATTTCGTTAACGATCTTGTCACGTGACTTGCGGCGAGCGATCAACTTGCGAGTTTAGGGATTTATTTAAATGAACGATGGGGGTAACACCGGGATTTACGATGGTTTATTGGTTTGTAGAGAGTAGCTTTCACTTTTAGGGGTCGGGTATTTATTTGTTATTAGGGAATTTGTTGTTAGGAATGCGGGAATTATTATTTTCCCAAGGCAAAAATGCCCTTTATTTATAATAAACGTTTTGTTTACATTTGTAATTAATTTCTGTCATAAAGCAATATATTTCTTATTCTCTATATCCTCACTAAATCTAATAAAAAGCTAATACTACATTTAACTCATATGTAGGCGAAGTAGCAGAAACGATGTAAGTAACATAAGTGACATTTCCGTCACGTCCGTGTGACCTTGGTTCGGGCCAGGATCGTCCCTACGATACGGACACCCGTGACCCCGAAATTCGGGCTCACAATTCTATAATTGAAGTGAAAAATCTTTTTTTTTTTAGTTTGAAACAGTAATCTTAACTGTATGTTTTTTATTAGTAATATATAACTACATTTTTTATATACAATAGTCTATTAACAAAAATACAGTTAGCAATATATATAACTTTAGTCATAATCTAATTAAGGGTTCTGCCTATAGGTTATACCAGAAATGGAGTGTTATGTGTAGCATAACACGTAGTGTATGGTTTATATCCCATCTCAAATGTTTGTCTGTATGCAAAATCTTTAAACTGGTTGGTCTGTAAGTTGTGGCAGAGTAAACCATAAATTTTTGTGCTTAAGTTTTACATTCACACTTGTTGCTGTTTCACATAGCTGTGGCTGAATGTTAGTTATACTATATTAGTTATCACATGGTTTGAACATATGTTTGATCTAAAGGTAATGCTATTTTTTTCGTCATACCATCGCTGTACCATCCGATATTGTCTGGTTGTTGGGTTTTTTATATGCAGATTTATAGGTGTAGTGTTGATAGTTTGGTTGATAGGAAGATTGGTTAAGGATATTATTATCGATAGAGTCATATTTTTATTTGATGACTGAATTTTGATTTAATTTTATGATGAGTTTTATATGTAATTAACTAGGTACTGTTTGTGTGAAATGTATTTGAATCAAGGTACTGTTATGCTATCACATAAGCCTTGTTTATTGTTGTTGTTTATTGTCTATATACAAGCCTCTTGTGCTCTTGTCAAATTTTACTTGTTTTATTACCTTTCTAATTACATTGACTGTAATGTGTAGCATGTTGGAACTTCCTTTTTTTTTTTTACTATTCTAATCTAAACTATGTTCAAGTGTTTGATTAAAGACATTTATGATCAAATAAGTTATTATTTATTGATAATCTGTTGACTATTAGGCTATTTTGATATGTGTAAACAATTTGTATTGTTTTTATAGTGTTATGAATGTGCCACTTCTATCTATTTATTTTATTAAATAGTAACTTCCACTTTACAGAAAAAAAAAAAATTAAAGCAAAATGGTTTCCTATATTGCTCTTCTTGTAGTTATGATTAGCGTAAAACATAATCACTTATGTTTACATAGTATTGTTAAATATAAACTTTCAAAGAATTATCTCAGACAATTAGGTTCAAGTATTTCTTATTTATAGAACAACCTGTCCAAACATTCCTAAGTGGGGAAGTTATATTTATTTTAAAAAAATTTGTTATTAAAGATTTTGAACCATGTTTCACCATAGTATATTTGAGCATTGTCAATAATAACAACCTTAACTATAAATTTGATATAACCAATGTTCCTTTGTGTATGCCTCATTGCATATATTCTGTGGTTGTCAATCAAATGGTGAGAAAAGTTGATGAGTTTATCTATTTTAGTGCAAAGGCTATTGAGTATAATTCAGTCATTGGTAAACCTAATGTTAAAATGGACATGACTATTATTTATTCTTTTCAATTGATTAGGTTCAAATACTGGACCTTCTGGGTTCAAGTATTAAAATACAGAATACCTATTTCATATCAGAATTACTTAGATTTTTTAAATCTGGAAAAATAATGATTAAGGTGACCGATATCAATAATATAAAAACCCCAACTATTAGCATTAACTATCTAAAAGCTCTTTGTCAAGTATACTAGAAATACCAACAATTATTAATATTATTGATGAAGATATTTATTTTGCTTTTACTAGTTTGTCTAAAAAAAATATTGAAACATCTGATCCTTCTTTAGCTATCATTATTAATGATCATGTTGATTTGAATTTTCTGGTTATGAAAATTAAATCTGATAATGACAATGAGACTTTAGAGGATAAAAGTGATAAGCAGAAAGAAGAACTTCAACCTAAAAAAAGAACAAGATATAACAAAGAAACTATAAGAGAAAAAAAGAAAAGTTCTTCAAAAAAATAACCTTTTATTGCTCAAATTATCTGAACAGATGTTTTTATTAAACTCTCTATAAATGTACTTCTTACAACTGAAGTTTAATAATATGCACTTATAGTTTATAAGAAGTGGATTTATGAAAATCATATATATATTGACCTGAGTTTGAATATGTGTTAGAGAAGATTAATTATAGAGTTTTGACATATATTGCTTAATAAAATATCACCCCAGAATAACACAAGCAGTCTTTTAAGATTTCTGTCTATTTTTGGTTCTTATATATAATATTACTTGACTTACTAATTTCTAAAATATCAAGAAAATTTTGACCTATAGTAATATGTCAAAACTATTATGTGACTTAATGAACCTTGATTTTCTTAATTTTGTTATACTATAGAACTTCCATAAATGATCTTTATAAGTATACATCTTTCTTGTATACATTTGATTATTCAGTTCCAAGCTTAAAGCTAGCACTAGATCCATATTATATAATTGTGTATAATTTATATTTTTCTTAATATAGCTTATGAAAATTCTATAAATGAATGTTCTATGAATGTACTCTTTTTTTTTTTACTTTTTTTCTCTGTTGTTTTTTTATGAAAGTGCATTCTAGTTATAATTTAGTTCACTAAATTATGCCTTCTCTAAATACATATATACAATCTTTTCTCTGTGTTAATCTTTCCTATAAATAAATATCTGCTAAAATTTAATGCTATAGTAATAAAAGTTATAAGAATGATAGTTAATTATGTTAAACAAATTTCTGTTTATGTTATATATGAATTTTGTAAAAATATTTATTAAATAAAAAGTTCAAATAATAAGCCTTACCACTCTATATAGTTAAATTACTATTATAGTGCTTGTGATCTAAAAAAATTTAAACAATATTTTGACTTTTAGATCATTACACTCTTATTGAATCATTATAATAACAGATTATATAATATCACAATAAGAAAAAAAGTGTGATAAAATTTTAATTTTTATTTTAATCAATTACCTTTATTTAAATAAATATAATATATCAAAAATTGTTTTCAATTGATTTTAATATTTGCTTAAATTTCCTATGATGAACATAGAAACTTGAGATGAAATTAGAAAAGAAAATCTCATAAACAAATTGCTATTCAATATAAAGACCCTCAATTTCATGATTTTGAAAAGATAAAAATTGATAATACAAAAGTAAACATTATTGTGATATAAATTACATTTGTACATCTAATATATTGGAAAACAAGTGCAAAAAAGTAAAGAGAACTATGATTCATCTTGCAAACAAGTTTAATACAACTAATTTAAATATTTTACTGTGTGTTCTAGAGATAGATTAGGAATTTAAAAAAATGCTTAATCAATATACTGAGTGGCCCACCCAATTGAAAATAAAATAGCAAAAAGTGTCCTGACTAAATTCTATGATAAAATTAATTTTAAAGAATTATGTAAATTACTATGTGCTGTTTGTTTTAAACTTTTTAATTATAAGAACTATAAAAAGATTTTTGTATCTAACATTGACCTTTTTCTGCTTGAAACACTAACCCATCTCTTTGATCTTTCATTTGAAATAAATTTTATCTATAATCATCTTGGCATTATTGCTAATAAAAAGAAAATTCTTGATTGATCTGAATTTATAAATTCATCTGCATATCAAAATATGACAATTTATTAAATTGCAATAAACTCTTTTGCTTATAAATTTGTATTACATATCATAACCATCTACAAAAGCATAAAACCCCTCTCTTATTCTTAGCAAATAACATGTAGATCGGACCTATGCCACTATGTCTTCAAGATTTAACCATTCTGGACCAAATACTTATCTCACCAGGATATTTATGCATAAACCTTATTCAAATAACAAAAAAAACATATACATCATAAGTTTAAAGGTCATGTCATAACATTATCTCAGAATCCTGACTCATTAACAAAATTATTGTCCTTATCTATATATTGACTTTTTGAATATCTAAAGATGGTCTTTATTGGAAAAGGCTCTCTTTCTAACTCTCAATTAAAAAAAATATTTCAAGTTCAAAAAAGCAAAATTGTAGCAGTACTTGAATGGCTTTTTATATACAATAAAATATTTAAAGAGAATTATACAATTGATAAAAATGCTTTAAATACTTTGCCTAAAAGTGATATTCCTAAAACCTTACTTTTAACTACTATTATTATATATGTTGATTCTCAACAAACAGATAATTATACAGGCTATACCCAAGATCCCTTTTTTATTAATGCTGAATCAGATAATGAAAGTGATGAAGAAATATCTATTAATAACAACTGTGATCTAAATAAATTTATTACTAATAACACTATTAATAATGCAAACAAACTAAGACCTTCTGAAATATTACATATTAATGATGTACTGGTTACAAGAAAAGAATTAACTTTACTTTCTTTGCAAAAATTAATAGACAAATCTAACCAACAATCTAAAAAAAATACTAATCAAACAGCAACTGAATCTGCACAATCTCCTATAATATATATACAGTACCTCACAGTAATATACCTCTCAATGAATATCAAGATCAAGATCTTTTTCCAGCAGCTTTCCAGTTCTATATCTGTATGGAGTTGGAGGTCATGAAGGTTGATTAATACATTTATCATTAAAAAAATATGCAAACCATCTAATAAACCATTGTGATCCTAAGTTTAGACAACATAGAGCATTTTCTTTTGTTATCTTTAATGTTTTACAGTGATGTGAAGTCTCAACAGAGACTTATAATCTAATTTGAAGTGTAAATTTTGACCAGTTAGCATTCTTGATATCTAGACTTAACCTATGTAATTTAAAACTAGCCATTGAGCAAATGCAAAATAAGTAAAATATAACTAAACTTGCAATACTTGAACTACTTAAAAATATCAATGTTGCTGATTCTAAATTAATGACTTTCTACCAATCCTGTCTTCATATATATAATGAAATATGTGCTACTATTATGCAAGATGGTACCCTTTACCTCTTTATTACAATTAATCCTGCTGCTCTTTACAGCCCTATTGTTATAATATATGTTAGAAATTAAATCGATATTGTAAAACTTATCCCAAACAATTTTTTAAAAGCTACTGAAAGAACTCGACTTGCACATCTTGATCTTTCAGCTGTTGCAAAATATTTTAACATAGTTATTCAATCAATTATAGAGACTTTAATCAGTTATAATAAAGAAAAGGTTGGAATATTTGGTTTTGTAAAAAATTATTATAGTGTTGTTGAGTACTAAAACAGTGGCATCTCTTATTGTCATATGCTTATTTGGCTTTATGATGCATCAGATCCAATTACATTATGTCATAAAATTAAAGATAATAATGAATTTAGTAACTATTTATTATGTTATCTTAGTAAAATTATTAAAGAGGATATAAATTATCTTCTTAAAGAAGGCAATATTTTAACTGATGAAATGCTTAAAGCAGAGTATATTGCTTCAAAAACAATTATCAAAAAACAAATACATCTATTTTTTCAACTTATACCAGATCCAAGATCAGATAAATTCAAGAAAAATTTTTATCAAGACTTATTTGCTATCACTAAATGTATACTTTTTTATCACTGTAACTGATCCTATAAAAAATATAATTATAATTTGTGAAAAAATTGCAGGTTCACTTTTTCAAAAGAACTTGTAAATTCTTCTGAGTTAATTTTAGCTAATTAAGATATCATAGCTGTTCAATGTGTTAATGCTTTAATTAATAATCATAATTCATATATAACTGTTGCATACAGAGGAAATAATAATATTCAATTTATTTCAACCCATAAACTAGCTCTAGCATACATTTATTATATCACTAATTACATCACTAAATCAGATCTTAATATGCATAATTTCTTCTTAATATGTGCCACTACTATAGAAAATTTTTTAATACTAGTCTCAGATGAAATTTTACTTGATATTGTGAACAAATCTTGCAAACTTGTGACCAAATGTCTTAACAAAATAATAGGCCAAGTAAAACTTACAAGCCTACAAGTTTCTGCATATTTACTAGGAATTAATAATCATTACACTCTATTCAAATTTATGTCAATATATCTTCAATCATTTGAATTTTATCTTATAAGAGAATAGAAAAACTGATTATATAACCTTACTGAAAACTTAAATAATCTGAATAATTCAGATAACATTGATAGCCAAATGAACAAAATACATTAAATGAATCATTTATAATAACATCTTATAATAATAAATTAATCACTATAAATCTTTGTGTTGATTACTGTTTTAGGAATTCATTATTGTGCAATATTTGCCTCTGTAATTATGCCTCTAATATTTAAAAAATTTCAATCAATTCACATAAACTTAAAATGCTATCTGGTCAATCTCTAAGAGAAGAGAACAAATGTTTTTTTTTCAATCTCATATCTGATCTAAACAATATATATCCTCAGAATAAAACTCATATTCAATTATGTAGATCATATGGAACTGAAAGAATAGTTATGCTATATGGTAAAAGGATATCTAAAAAAGATGATATCGAAAATTTTGAACATTATGGCTTATATATTCTTTATTATTTAAACCATGAAAGACTGTCCAAGACCTTTGAAAAAACTATAGTTTATGGGCCGAAGCATGTCAAGCTTTCATAATTAGTTCTACTACATTATCATGCATAAAGTACATAATATCAAATATGAAATTACTACATAGATATTTAGAAGAAACTGTTTTAGACTGTGAACTGAGAAAAAATGCTATTAATGATCTGATTTCTACTAAAGGTCAGCGTATTAATTGTTCTATTATGGGGTACAATGCTGATAATCAAAATGACCTTTTAAATAAAGATTTAGAAATTAATATATTTGAAAAAATAACTATATTTGATTCTGTTATGATTATTAGAGCTGGTTTAAAAGATGTTAAGATGGTTGATAATACTATAAATATGTTATGACTTAGAAGAAGATTTACTATTAAAAATTGCTCTCTTTTGACAAACTTAAATGAATTATTCAATGTTAACAATCTTAAATTAAACAATGTAATTATAAGCAATAATTATAATAACCAACTTCTTAAAATTTAGTAAAATACAATAACATCTCAAAAAATATTTTGTCAACATAAAATTCATAATACACATGAAAATAATACATCATT